TGCCCTCTTTAATACCCATCACCAGGCTAACCCATCCCCCCACTCCCCTCCCCTCTAGAACCCTCAGTTTGTTTCTCAGAGTCCATAGTCTCTCATGGTTAGTATATGGAAAAGTTTTTGAGTGTTCCCAGACCCAAAAAATAATCCCTCTTAGGCATCTCTGATACCTTAGAACACATCCTACTGATGGATGGACAAAATAAATCGAGCTAAAGCACAGATGCTCACAAAGTCCAAAGCTAAGGCAGCTCGGTGCTGAGATGCTGAGTGGAGTTCGGGCGGGAGCTTGGCCAGGCCACCCTTGCACTATGTGCCACCTCCCATGCTCGACACTGTTTTAGCTTCTCACCTTTTTTTTTTTTTTGTAGAAGCAGAAATCCTCTTCAGATTTCTTTTGGTTACTGAAAACAGGTACTAATGTAGGTCTTTCATAAAAGCAAAGTGATGTAACTCAAACTTTCAAAAAGCCAGGGATACCTTCATTGTGTGATTTTCTTCATTTTGCTTTTTTGTACAGGGTCAGAGTATTATTCCAATGCTTACTGGCGAAGTAATTCCTGTAATGGAACTGCTTTCATCTATGAAATCACACAGCGTTCCTGAAGAAATAGATGTAAGTTCTTACTTGTATTATTAAATAGGAATAAGGATACCCTCTTATCACTTCCCTTGAGTTATATTACTAGTAGGTATATTAGTAGTATTCTAATTTCAGTAGTATCCATTTTTTGTCATATATACTATTCATATGAAGTATTAGCCACTTTAGCAAACACACATAAAACCCTGAGTTTTATAGCCAAACAGAGGTTTTTTTGGTCATTGATAGTTGTGGCAGAATTACATTTATTTAGTTTATTTCACCACTTTTGTATTTCTTAAAAGTAGGAAAATTCCAGACCTTATAGAAGCAATCAGTATTGAATGCAATACTTTCTGTAACAAAGCAGTATACCAATAAGTGGTGGTTTGCACAAGTTTATTTACATTGACTAATCTAGTTTTCTTTATCATTTGTTGGCATTTTGAATTACACACTCTGCATGTGTAGAGAAATCTTTAGGAAACTATTCTTGTTTCTTTCTTTGTCATTAAGATTGGTCTCCTGATTCTGATAGCCCAGAAGAGGAAGTTGTTCTTGTCAAGATTGTTGCTTAACTTGCCTGACTGGTTTTCACATTTGTTCTTCTGAAAGTTTATAGAAGTGCCCAGAGGTTGTTTTATTGGATTCTTGATGCTTAGAAATGAGGACAATGTGTCATATTGAACTTAGACTTCGGAAAACTTGTGTATTTAAGAGTGTTATTTCAATGCTACATTATAGCCAGAATAACTTTGGTTTTTTTGTTTGTTTGTTTTTTTGTGGTGTGTTTTAGATAGCTGACACAGTTCTCAATGATGATGATATTGGTGACAGTTGTCATGAAGGCTTTCTTCTCAAGTAAGGATTTTGTTTCTTTTTGTAAGAGATGGATAAAGCAGATAGAAATCTTAGGCTCACCTATGACATGATTTGGAAGGATGAAAACAATAAGAGACTAGCTACCCAAATTATTCTAGGAACAGTGTTGCATATTTAAACTATTACTTAGCTTTGTGTTATATTTTTCATTTATTACATGTCTGTGATATATTTGATGTTACTCTTTTTAATATTTAAAGAAGTCGAGTGTCCATAGTGCCCAGGCAGGAAATCTTGGTCTCTTGTGTGGTTCTGGTTTCTTATTTTACTTCTCATTAAAGCTGAAACAAAGAACTGAAGGGGGTTCTTAGACCCATTTCCAGTGTTGGTGGGGGCTTCCCCCCACGAACAAACAATGCTCTAGATACCAAGTGGGTGTCCTACAGTTTAATTCAGTTCTTACACTCTCTGCCTGGAGAGTGTCAGATTCCATAAATTAAGGGTTCAGTCCCAAGACTGCGTCTCCCCTACCCCCGGACACCAGTCTGACTGGCAACAGATTGGACGTCACAGCCTCCTTGGACTTCAGACACCAGTAACAAGTCCAGGTTGTTCCCTGGACTTCTTACCAATTGTCTATAAATCAGGTTCCTACAGCCCCCTCCTTGGGTTCCATTAATTTGCTAGAGCGGCTCACAGAACTCAAACATTTTATTTACTTGATTATTATAAAGGATAGAATCTAAGATACAGATGAACATCCAGATGGAAGAGATGCATAGGACAAGGTCTGGGGAAAGGGTGAATAACTTCCATACTATCTCCAAATACCACTCTCCCCAAATCTCATGTACACTAACACAGAAGCTCTCCAAACTCCTTTTGGGTTTTTATGGATGCTTCATTACATGGGCATGATTGATTAAATCATTGGCCCGTGGATAACCTCCAGCTCCTCGCCCCTCCGCAGAGGTCAGGGAGGGACTAAAAGGTCTAACCCTTATCACGTGGTTGGCTCCATTAGTAATCAGCTCCCATCCTTAGATGCTTTCCCCCCAAAAAATCGCCACATTAACATAACAAAAGGCATCTCTATCATTTCCTACACTTAGGAAATTCCAAGTGTTTTGGAAACTGAGCCAGGAGCTGTGGATTAAGACCAAATATATATATTTCTTAAAATCACAATATCACAGAACCCTTACAAATTAAGTTTCATTTGGATGGACTTAAGTTTTTTAGACCTAGAAAAGAAAATTATTTGTATTTTTATTGATCCTTTCCATCTTTAAGCAGATTTTAGTACTTAAAGAGTGTGGGCTCTAAAACCAGACTTCCTGGGTTATTGCTGTGTAAACCCGGGCAAGATACCTGAAGTCTCTGTGCCCCCATTTCCTCATCTGTAAAATAGGAATAATAATAGTACCTACTTCATATGATTTGTTGTAAGAATTGAGATAAATCATATTAAGTATATAAAACAGTGCCTGGAACAAACAAGCACATAATAGCTGACATTTTCTTTTTTTGTTTCTTCAAAGGAAAATGTAATAACAATAATAACAGCCAAAATTTATCAGGTGCCTACGAGTCAGTCCCTATACTAAGTGCTCTCTCTGCATGTATAAACTCATCTTTTCCCTTAGTTTCTTTACGATTTCTTTACGATTGCAGATTATTGTGAAATTTTATTTTTTTCAATGAGAAGTGAAAGGATAAAATACTTGCTTTTTATGTCCATAGTCTTTTCCTCAGAGAATCTCAGAGGCGTGAGTGTTTTTAGCCTAGAAGCCTTAACATAGCTTGATTCAGAAGCACTTTAGTGCTGAATCTGCTGTCAGCCATTCATATCATTATTTTTAATCCCATTTGATTTTAAATAAATCACTTAACCTCTCTACACCTCAGTTTCATTCTTTATAAACTGGTAATATTTTACTAACTGGGTTTTAATTTCAAATGGGAGAATCTCTGTGAAAGGCCTGAGGAAAATGTAAAGTACTATGGGAAACAAGGGATGGCATTTCTCTTGTAGCTTTGGCATTCATCATGTAAAGCTAGTCTAAGTTGTTTGAAGTTCACTTGCCCTTTTTTTGTTTTGTTTTAGTTTGTGACATTGTTTTACTGGCAGTGTTTTTCATCTTTTTTCTTCACCTTGCAGTGCCATCAGCTCACACTTGCAAACCTGTGGCTGTTCTGTCGTAGTAGGTAGCAGTGCCGAAAAAGTAAATAAGGTAATTTATTTTATGACCCAGCCAATAATCTGACTTCTTAATGCTGCTAACATATCATGGATTCTAATTTAAAAGTTAGCTTGCAGTCAAAACAATCTAATATTATAAGGAGGTAATAGAATCTGGCCAAATTACTGTGTGACACCCTGTGACAAAAATAAGTTGAAGTAAACTGCTAAATAGGAAATCATTAATCCGTTTCATTTTGATAATTCATAAATATTATACAGTTCTCAGTATTATATAAATGGTTTTGAGACTTTCTTAAAATAAGGTATTTTTAAAAATTATTTGTCTTCTGTTTTCTGATGTCACTTTTAATAAATAGGGCAATAACCATGTACTTTTTTTTTTTTTAAGATTTTATTTTTTCATTTGACAGAGTGAGGGAGAGCACAAGCAGGGGGAGGGGCAGAGGGAGAGAGAAGCAGATTCCCCGCTGAGCAGAGAGCCAGAGGTGGGGCTGGATCGCAGGACCTGACCTGAGCCGAAGGCAGACACTTAACCCACTCAGCCATCCAGGCGGCCCAATAACCATGTACTTTTGATACAAATTTCAAAAAAATGTTATCTGGTTTTTCATCTTGATTTGTTATCTTGCTTTTCCTCCTGAATCTATTTTTTTTAGGGACCTGTTGCTACAGAGTGGTCAGTGGAAGTTATGTTTTATTCAGTAACATTTGTGACCACTTCCTTCAGTGCTACATGAGTTAATAAAGACTTAATGAAGTTATCTTTCCAAGCATTAGGCAAAAACTAAGGGATTTTGCACTTTTCTTCACTGACTGTTAATTAGAAAGAGATAAGTTGCACATATCTATCAATTTAAGTAAACCTGATTTTTCTTTTTATGTTTTACACAGGAACTATGTTAGGAATGATTATTTCCTTGACAAATATATTTGTATTTTTTTCTCTACCCTGTATGCTTTGCCTGACCCTTCATTTACCAAAATTATATTTTTCATACATCCATTTATGAGAGGTTAGTGTACCTCTTACTATATTGGTCTAGCAATTTATTGTTATATTTGTTACCCCAAGAAGGTAGGTTTCCATCTATGTCACCCAGAACCTTCAGATTTCACAGAAGGACTTCCCAATAGCTTTTTGGAAGAAGAAGGCTCTGTGGTTGGGGCTCTCTGTTTTTAAAACACTTTTTTCATCCCACATCCTCTTCTGGCATAATTGCTTCTCTTTTATTTTTTTAGTATGAAAAAGATTGCCATCACTCTATATTGAAAGCCTACTACTTTAAAGTCACTACTTTTAATGTGAAAACTGTCTGAACATACTTACTTGGCTTTTTATTTTCCTGATAGAGCTATAGATCAAATCCTGTTAGAATCATAGATTTCTAAGCCCCAACCAATACCTTGCTTATTTTAAGTCAAATTTGATAGAATTTTTTTTTAAGATTTTATTTATTTATTTATTTATTATTATTATTTTTTTTTTTAAAGATTTTATT